GCAGACTTTCATTTTATAGGACATTTTATTTTCCTGTCACTCCGGCTATCCACACTTCGCTTTCCACTTTTCCACTCGGATAGACATCATCAGAGTGAGAAACAATATTTTATGAAAATGCCCACCAACCTACTAAGCCAAGAGAATACGTGGCCGGCCGCAAACCTACTAGCTTCTTATACCGTTATGATGTATCACATAATTTGGTTGGTTATTTTATGCTAAACCTACATGCTTGCTGGTGGGTAAATGTGATTTAGAAAGGTGATTTATTGCCTAAATAAGCAAGCGTTTGATCCTGTAATTTTGACGAATATTCAGGTATGTGGTATGGTGTGATGCATGTTCAAGTCATGTGAAATGGGATAACCCAAAACAGCTAATCTGCTATTCCCCTCCCTACTTGGGCCTATCATGTAGCTATAAAAATTCCCAATAAAGAATTTGCAAGAATGAATTCCAATTATAATGATTCCTGCCATATGAAAGGAAACTAGGCCAAATGTCTCGTTTACTGCCGTATTAATGCCAAACTGTTGCAGAAAAACGGGACTCAGATGTCGTATTGCGGTGAGACCTACAAATGAAACGCTTTATCATGAACTTTCATAGGAAATAAAAGTCTCTAAAACAATATAAAGCTGAGTTATAGGAGTGATTAGTTATTTTTTTCTCAACAAATAGGTGTTAAAACTCATTGCCTAAGGAATCCCTTAAGGCTGTTACCTCACAAACCTGATTTCGTTCTTGAGCCTCCTCCACCGCCCCATAAGAAGCCGCATTGGGACTCGGAATTTGAAGGTTTACGTAAAGAGGAGAACACTTTAGCATCCAAGCGACACAATCCGATCCCATAGCGTGATAGGCCCAGTTACACTTTCTAGGCAAAATGAGCTTTTCTCAAATAACCTCATTTTGTGAGAACCTTTGCAATATGTCTTTCCCGGTGAACAAAATTCCCGCTAGCAATGCTAATTGGACGAGGAAAGAACAGCATTCTTGCCTGGATGGGGCAGCGCAAAGTAAAAGAAAATATGAAATCGGGAAATACCTTCATTTCTACACTGGCATTCCGATAAGGAGCTTAATTCGCCCCATTTCGTTTAGGGTGATCAAGTAATGGTAGTTGGATGTACCCACAATCAGATGACTAGACCTTGAGCTTTCATGAAATTTCAAATAACCTTGTTCCCCAAAATCTATTCTTATCCAGGCTGAAGTGGACAGCAACTTGGAACTCGTCTGGTCCTCATCAGCAGTCCCAACGGGACTCGAGCCAGGATAGAGTAATGTATAATCTCGACACGGTAAGTCCTACGTCAGACTGCAACTAGTGTTCCTAGGCTATTGGGCACACGTGAATTTCGCTTAT